TGTTCAAACGCAACACTTGATGGCAGAAATCATTCAGCGCATTCACAAAACATCAGAACTTGATTCATGCATCGCATTCATGCACAGTAATAACAATGGACATTTACTTACTCTCGCCATGGGCAGAGACAACGTCAGCGGAGGCGTGGCTCACCTTGTGGTCATCACGGAAACTGGGGTGGAGCACGTGGTTGTCCCCGGCAACAAGCTGCCCAAGTTTCACAACGAGTGACAGCGTCCAACAAACAAAGAATTTTATGTCAGTAACTGTTTGAAATTCATGATCCACAATCTCATCAATAATGTACCGTATAGGACTGGGATGTAACACACACACACACACACACACACACACACACACACACACACACACACACACACCTGCTCATTCCCAGCTGCTTCTCATTCTCTCATCTCCTCATCCTCTCTTCCCTTCACCTGTTCCTGCTTCCTCTAATTCGACGCTCTATTTCTAGTCTGCCTCTTGTTCTCCAGCAGAGCATCACCTGTGCACCCGACGTACCTGAGCTTGCTGTCCCGTATCGCCTGCCTGGTCGTGTCCTGACGGTTCGTGCTGAACTATTTGTGTCCCGTTGCTAACCTCTGCTTTACCCCCCCCCCCCAAGAAAAGGCGGGGGGGGGGGGCTCCGCCATTCCCTCCTGCTAGTGGGCAAAAAGCCCCTGTAAGAGACGTACCCCTGTGACTAGAAAAACTAGACTTTGCTTATTGACCCCCCACACAGGGGAGCCAGATGGGTGGGGCTCCAAAGGTATATTTCTTCTTGTCATCGGAGCCCCTTAACCTATACACGAGCTGCATGCCCTGTGAGGAGAAAACATATGTGAAGTTCTCTAAAAGGCTCTTGCATCTCTCTGTTGCCTGAGGACCCCTCTTTCCAACGGTGCAAACAAGCTCGCGCATCAACCAGCCTATTTAGCCTACACAGTTGACCCCCGTCCCTCCAGCAGGAGAGGAGAGGTCAGGGCTACCGTGCCACGTACGGGGCCTCAGAACTGTTTAGAAGTTCCCGCTTGATAACAGCGGTTTGGAACCCGGTACTGAAGGGCTGTGCTCTCTCAAAGCAGCGCCCATCCTACTGGGTTTCAGAGGCCATTGCCTAGACATACAAGGCGAGCAACCAAGCTCAGCCATTGAGAATGCAGCGACACTCTACCAGGAGTGTCTCCTCATCATGGACGGTCCTGAGAGGAACGCCTATGACGGATATACATGTATGTGCTGCGGCCTTAAAGGCAGCACACTGACAGAACACTACAGAGTGAACGTTGTCACCCCCTCACCCGCTGGGGAGGGTTCTTTGGCCCAGTTCCTCTGCCTGAGCAATACGTATGTATGTAATCCTTGTGACTCAGTTGGTACAAGTCATCCAGTGTGAAGCACTGCCTCTGGAAGGTCAGTAAGGATGAAATAGAAGGAAAGTTCCGTGTGTAACTACGGTTCTATGAATCCTGGATGACAGAGTTCTTAGTCACTCGGAATCCCGTGAGCTCGCGAGAAGATTCGGTAGGACTGATCTCAGGATGACACCGGTACTTATACGTGACGGGAGGTCAATCGGGGTCACAGGTGACTTTGTTGGTATAAAGACTCGACCTGCGCATGCGCGAGACAGAAGATGATCCAGTGTGAAGCACTGCCTCTGGCAGTCAGTGAGGATGAAATAGAACCGTAGTTACATTCGTAACTTAAAATGATCATCAAGCCTGCTGGTGTGATATAACGTTGGAAAATTATTATCAGTGGATTTAAAATAGTACAATTGGAAAAATGTGTATTAGAAGAATCCATGTACATATTTTAAAAGACTGTAATGGCTGTGATGTTTCTATTTTATCGTTTTTAGGTCTGCAGGGATGAAACATTTATCAATAAACCCTTTGTGATGAACTTATCCCAAGATCTGTGAGATGTAATTTGACCGATGATCCAAAAGAGGGAAACTTGAGCTATTATTTGACTGCCTGAGTTCTGGAAAAGCACAACAACCGTTGTCTTTTTCAGAATAAAATCGAAAGGGAACTCTTTTTTGGAGTAATGATTTAGTTAAAATACGTTAGCATCTTAAACTAATAAAATAAAGACATACTACGAATCAATGAAATAATACAAAGAAAAGAACTGTAGAGTTATAAAATCACCATACGTTTATGGTTTGTTATTATAACCTAATAATTAAATACATTTAAAGTATACAAATCTGTCAATGTTGGCAGAAACACATTTGATTTGACGTCTAAGACAGCAAACTCATCGTGGCTCCATTTATCTTCACAATTTTTGTCGTTTGTGTCTGTAGAGACTCTTTTTGCCCATCAAAGTCAGGTCGCCTTGGTTGGTGTTTAGAGTTCGTTCTGACGCGTTTAAATACTCCTTGAGACATTTCCACTTGTCTTTAATTGTCCTTTATTTTGCTCATTAGTGACACCATCAAATTATCTTAATACATGCCTCTTCCACCCGTTCACTCTGTCACGCTCACTCTGTCACGCTCACTCTGTCACGTTCACTCTGTCACGCTCACTCTGTCACGTTCACTCTGTCACGTTCACTCTGTCACGCTCACGTTCTGCGCTCCACGGTCCAAAAACTATTTATCTTCCCACAAACACCAACACCTGATTCTATTGACCTTGCAGCCTAATTGAAACACAACCTCCGACCATCTAAGGGTGAAGCTAACAACAAATAATAACAAAAGAGGCTCTTACAGTGTCCTTCTATTTAGTTTTAAATTGGAAATGTGTGTTTGATACAGAGTCATTCATTATTCAACCTTACGTTATACGTACGTATAATCTTCTGTATATAGTTGTAATGTACTTGCTTTAAATAAGACATCTAGAAACATCAACTATAATCAACGTGAGCACGTCACCCAATGGCTAATGACGTTACTGACCAAACAACATCTATGAGCCAATCAGAGGCGTCGTTGCTGGTATGACGATTGGTGCACTTTGGACAAGCTTTGCGATTCCGTGTCGACCGCTTAGCGAAGTTGATGAATACTACTTTGGTAGAACGTGTGTCTGATTTATCTTTTTAAAACAAATTCAGCCGTTGAGAATAACAATCAGAAATGTGATTTTTAGGCAAGTTTCTTCAGTGTTTATGAAGTGCTTTTCATAAAAGTCAGGAAAAAATCCCACTAGAGAGAATTAGGTTTTATAAATGAGCTCAAAGTCCAAACAACCCCTGTATGAGTCAGCGATATTGAGTTAGTGAAAAACGTCAGATAGACAGTTTGGTTTCTCCCCCTCTTAATCCTGTCACTAAGGTTACTCGTTTGTCAGTGTGAGTACTTTACTTGGCAACCTAGCAACCATTAACCAATCACACCTTACTCTTTTATTTCCTTTCATTCCCAACATGCATCTTGAGGCAGTAAAATCACTCAGGACGAGCCGTCTAAACTGCTGAGTCATGTAGACAGACTGACCTCACCCATCAGGTCTTTTCTCGTGTTCTCTCAGATAGCGTACCTGGAGAACCTGCTGAAGGTGTACAACGACGAGATCTACCGCCTGCAGCACGCCGAGCTGAATTTAGATGACTTGGGAGCGGAGGACTCTTTATACATCCAAGAACACAAGCTGAAACGCAAGGTCAGCCTGCAGCTGGATCAGGCTCAGGGCTCCACTGATTATAGACACAGACAAGTCACACCTCTTCTTCTGTCCTCCTCTTCCTCCAGATGATAAAGATTTACGAAAAGCTGTGTGAGCTAAAGAGCTGCAGCACCCTGACGGGCCGAGTCATTGAGCAGAGGATCCGCTACAATAGCACTCGTTACCCTGAGATCAACAAGAAGGTGAGCTGCTGGCTGCTTTAGGCAGTTTGGATGCCCCGGACGCTTGGGGAGGTGGGGCAGATTTAACAGGAGTCAACGGCTGTTATTTCTATGTATCAGAGATGTGTGTGTGTGTGTGTGTGTGTGTGTGCGTGTGTGTGCGCTAGCTCACTGTAAACCCGAATTAGTTGACTTTACTCGCGAATCGCGTGGAAACCCGTTGCCCTATCCCACTTTAGTTTTTACACAAGCTGAAACTAGAAATGTTGCGCTGTATTAAAGTGGAACTGTAAGTTTTTATACAACCTAAAACTAAACATGTTGCGTTGTATTAACGTGGAACCTTAACTTTAGTATTTATATTTATTAGTAGTGTGTACTCAAAATCATTAGATACAACTAGCTATTATGACTTGTTATTGCTACTCATCATTTAACACAATTATTGTATTTTCCTCTAATTTAATTTGCTTTTGATTGGTTTTTAAATATGTTATTAAACATTGTTTCAATTAAATTGGATAAAAAAAAAAAACACCTGTAAATGCTCCAATGCATTTTACTTTAAGAAAAATGGCCAAACACAGCTAATCACAAAAAGGATCTGTTTCATCTGCCTCAATGAAGGGAGGCCCGAGCATGAACCAACAGACTATCATATCAGAACAATATCTAATTCCATCTACATAGACTGATGAAGAACTGAAACATGTATACATTATAATATAACAATGTCCTATGTCTTTCCGCTACAACTCCGCTCAGTTTAACTTGTCACACAAGTAACAAAAAACAAAAAACAAAATATGTGTATAGGTGTGTCAGTTTTGTGTGTGGGTGTTGTATGTGTCTGTGTGTGTGTCTGCGTTTTATGCGTCTGTTTGTCCACCTGTTTTACAGAAAATAAGAAGGTTTACCCCACAGGTAAGAAAAAAAAATAGTCAACAGTTTCTTAAAGTAGACTTGACATCTCTTTACATTGCGAGCTGATTTTTCAAAGTCTGTAGCTTTGGCTTTAAGTCAGTGTGAACTAACAAGAGCAATACCTGTTGGATGAACTGAAATGTGAGCTTCATAGTCTTGGGGTAGTTAAGATGGAGTGCATACATGAGTCCAAACAGAATGCACATTGCTTTTGGCAGATCTTGAATGTTGTCCATCACGACTTCTCCCTCAATGATGGTTTCCAACGAGGCTGGACTGAGATGCTGGGAGGATGTGAGCACAGCACCTTCACGCTCAATAAGAAGTATCCCAATGTCTGGGTCACAAAAAGAATCCTCATCGTCAGATTCCTAAATAAAGAAAAACAGAAGAGCACACTCATTGCATTATACTTCTCATTTGAAAAAAACTTTCATTAAAAATGATAAGAAAGCAAGAGCTTACTTACAAAGCCTGCTTTGAAGAGGTCTGTGGGGTTGTCCCCAAGGATGATAGGAAGCCCTCTGACACTCAGTTGGCTCTGTAGTCTTTTGGGAATTAAACACAGTACCACAAGTTAGATTGCTCAAATGAAAAACAAATAATGATCTCTAAGAAAGCTTAAACAGGCCGAGCAATGTTTGGATAGAATTATGCAACTAATAGAGTAGCATTGTGATATGATGTTTATACCGAACCTAAGAAAAACAATGCCAAGTACATAATGTGTGTGGACTCACATTGGTCTGTTGTAAAATATGTGTCAACAACTGTCCAACATTCCCTCTCTTGGATCCAAATAACTCGAGGAGACGAGGACTGTGCCGGTCGATGCTCTCATAGAATTCAGTCTTGAGGTTCTTGCCCACAATCCTGCTGAACTTCATGAAGACCTGAAAAATACAGAGAACAATAAAAATCTGAATTTAGATCAACTGAACTATACAAGGCAGCTAAGCCATCTGCGAAGTAGTGCTTCCTGAAAAACATCCATGAATGTGCTTTTTATACGATTTGAAATGTTGATGTTTAAATTAAAAACATCATGCCCCAAATTAAAAATACCAATGTTTCCTTTAAAGAGGACAAGAGAAATATACATCTAGACACATTATATAATAGAAAGATAATTATTTGTTATGTTCTCTTTCTTAAACATACTCGATCTTCAGTGAAAAGGGCAGGCCAGGATCTCACCATCGTGCTTATGGCAGGTTACCACTCCACTACTTTTCTTCTCAAAGCAAACGTCTGATCCATCTTCTGTTTCACAAGAGGTCCATTTGGTGTTCTCTTCTGCATTTCATAAACCAAGTCTTTACAGGCACCCTCCAGGGCTGCCTGATCAAATGCACACACATTGTTGGTGTAAGCAGGGAAATGGGACAGTTCTACCCTGCACACCTTCTCTAACCCCTGCGCCAAGACGACCCAGCCCGTCCTCAGGTGTGACTTTTCTGTTGTTGTTAGTTATTTTGAGATCAGTGGCCATCACCCCCCCTCTTGGCTACTTCAAATGTATTTATTAATTTAATAAAATAAAAATAAAATTATTAGTAGTATTGTTCAGTAGGTTTTTTTCACCAAAACAGGAAAATTACCCACTGAATAAATAAAGAGGCATGAACATATTAAATCATGTTTATGAATAATATAGGCTATTCATATCATGAAACATGTTGATATTTGTAAATAAACAGCCTGTCATTGACGTCCAGATGACGTCCACAAAACTTACCCGCTTCGAAGGTCAAATTCTGAACGTAAATATGTTGTCCAAGTTGGGTCATGGTTGGACGTCCAAATAGTGGACCTAGTATGGACGTCGAATAGATGTCCAGAATTGGTCATGGACCGACGGACCCAATATAGACATGATCTGCACGTCTATCCGACGTCCAATGTTTAGTGGGTGTATAAAAGACACCTGTCCACACTCCATCAAACAGACGGCAACCTCTCCACAATGGCCCAGTCCAGAGAGCTGTAGCTGTGTATCCTTGCATCCTTGTAGCCTGCAGCCTTCAGCAGCCTTGGCGGTGGACCTGGCTGGTCCTCCATCAACCGTACAGGCTGAACCGAGCGCTCTCTGAAATGGGACGGTCTGGCCTACGGGGGGGGGGGGTGGGCATCCTGCCTGTGTCGTCACCTCCACCGCTCCCGTTACCTAGCAACCTGCTGCGCTTGACAGTAAAAGTCAATTAACTTGTATGCAAGGACTTCTTATTTTTCTATTGCATAGGATACAAGCTCTGTTAACTGTAACTTAAGATCTTACAGAATATGTCCGAGCTACAGTAGCTGAACGTCACCACACATCGTTCTCCTTCAGCTTGATGCTTCCTCCTGTTCCATCAAACAACTAAATGTAAAGTTAGTTCATAATCACACCACAAAACAAAAGGAGCAAAGCAAGTTCAGTTTCTTTGTGTATGTATTCTGTAACGTATCCTGATATTTCAGGTTTGTAACTTGTCTACTTGAGCTCACTTTGATCCATTTCTGTTCACAATTGTTGAGTTGCGTTACTCGCATTCTTGCAGCTAACGTTGCATTCGGAGGAAAAGAGCGGGCGATTCAGATGAGCCATCTTTAGCCGTCTTCGGCATATTTATTTCACGAGCTGCCGCTGACACATCAGTCTCAGGGTCAGACGGCCTTCATCACTTCTTCATACAAAACGGCAAAACATTTTGGGACAAACAAAACAGCAATGCGAACGAGTGCCCCCTTGTGGCTCCTGCACAACACAGATCAGCACTGTACTACACCATCACCACAACTGAGGACATAATGAACATATCCCAACACCAATATGAAGTAGAAACTATATATGAAACCGCCACAGCCTCAATAAGATATTAGTCAGCCTCTAAAGCAGAGGTCACTGACTGGAGGACCGCGGTCCGGGTCCAGACCCAGAAGCCGTCCCATCCGGACCAAAAGCTAAAAACAGACGGTTGTGATTTAAACGTGACAGCTTTAGTCGTCTTTACGGTAGTGGCTTAAAGCACAGACCAATTGCATTTGAGTTCAACCATCCCACGTGATACTACTCGACCATTCAAGTCTTTGCATTCCAGGCAGGACGATATTGTCTCAATACTGCGGACAGAGGAGGAGGTAGCGGCAAATTAAAAATAAAAAGACGGTAGGAAGAAAAGAAACAGCAAAATATGAGAAAAAGACGAGTGAGAAAAACAAATGGCCAGTGAAAGTAGAGCATTTAATCCTCAATGGACAGACTGCTTTCTGTTCATACTTCCCACTGCAGCACTAAACCAGTGTCTCATGTGCTTAGAACCCATTGAAACGCCGTCATGAGGCTCAATGAGCTCCTCCAGGTGAGCAGGAGAACGAGCCTGATGCATTAAGACCAGGTTTAACATCCTAAAACTACATCTTAATTCTCCCACTTACCAAAAAAGTCTGGGAGTGGATTTTGATGTATTTTTGGCTGCAAAACTGGGAAACGTTTTTTTTTTCTTTTACTATATCATGGATACAGAATATACTGTTATACTTTAGCAGTACGTTTTTTATCAATTTATTTTATTAGTCATTATTATTTATTTGGTGCAGAATCATGTTATGTATTAAAACTAAGGTTTTATCACTGTTATGTTTGAATTGGCTCCAAGTTACGTAATGTTACTATATGTTGATAACGTTTGCCTGTTCACATAATATCAACTAGGTTTGTTTTATATGTGGGGGGGCTGGTAGTGTCCCAACGCTGAGACCAAACCTTCACCTTTGGGATAGAAAGTCCTGTGAATGAAATTACATAGATACAATCCCCCAATGTTCCCAATCTATAAAGATAGTAAATCACTATCAACTTTCTATTCAAATATACAGATATCATACATTATTTCTGGCTACTAAATGAATTCTTTAAGCAGAGAAAAGTGTCTCTTTGTGGGCGTCCACGTCGTTCTGTGGCTTCAGATGTTTCTTTTCTTTTTCTGCACTTACAAACTTTGTTTCCTGTGGATCTTCTCTGCACTCATCACAACACCTGCACTGCTCACTGAGAATACCACATAACACCGCTGCTGTAAGGTAACCACTTCCCAACCTAAGGTGGTTCATGGTTCACCGTGTTATTTATTACGTTTGCAGCCCTGTTTTCATGCGTTCACTAGATGGCACTCATAAGCTGTGATTCAGCCTTTTGCCAAATCCTCTTATTGTGCCAAACGCTCACGCAGCCAGTTTGCAGGAAATCACGTGACTTATGATAAATTGGCAAATCCAACCAAAGCGCGGCGCTGTTACACTGTCTCAAAGGACTCTGCACCGGTCAGGGCTGTTGTGTCTTTTCTAAACTGACACAGGATCAGTTTCCGTTCACCACATTTTGCTCTCTGAAGTCAAACACATAAAAAAAGATCAGTTTTTTGGTATTACCTTCCTGTATGAACTGGAAATGTCCTTTAAGGTGTGATTGATTGAATGCGTTTCCCTTATTAACTGAGGAAACTACACAGCGACGTAGTGACACTGTGCTGCACTAATGTTGGGGTTTACCCGTCTATTACATAATGCTACAGCTCCCTGCTCAGTCCAAAGGATATGGTTACTTTTACTTCATCCACAACAGTATCACGACTTATCTAAAGGACTCATTTTCATATGTATTAAAGATCAATAGTTGCACGTGCACTTTTGAAAACCCTTTTTGTAGCATCACGTTTGACCTTTTTCTATTGAAATGCTTCTGTCATTAAAATGAGACGAGGTGTGGAAAAGACGCTGCATCAGTGTCACTTCTGTTGTGCTTTACGCTGCATCAGTTGCTCTTTCTAAAGAAGAGAAGCCTCCATTATGTGCCAGTGAAGCCGATCTATCCTGTGACTCAGTCACAAGAGCTCGAGCTGGTTGTGTCTTGGATGAGTCAGGTGCTCAACGGATGCACAACACGGCACAGAAAGTGACATCAAGAAGAGCTCAGCACTCGGTGGTGCACAACGAAAGCTGCTCAGCGCATCCGCACATCCAGAGACACACATTTACAGAATGCACTATATAGGTGACAAAAGGTCTCTGGATGCACATTCATCTTTTCTAGACAAGGCCGCAATCACAATCATCTGTATTTTAAATTTCCTCTTTTTTTCCAGTGTTCAACTCACGCTGACGGCCATTTTGGGTCTGTGATGAGAAGATGTCACTAAGATGGCGTGTGCCTTTTGCCCTTTTTTCTAACTCCACGCCTCCTGCCACTGGAACCTGCAGGCAGCACTCAGGGTGGTAGATGGGAAGCAGCCAAGCTCCTGATAAGTCTGTGAGCCGGGGTGTATCTGCATAGCGTCGCTTTCATTAGATTGATGAATAATAATTCGTCCATAGCAGAACCAGACTCACAGTGAAGCATGTGATTTTTAATCAAGTAGGGGGATACAAATGTTTTACATGTACATTTAAATACAGTAAACTGGGTGGGTGTTCATGTCATAGACCCATTCATTTAGGAATCCCTCACACTCATGATGCATGACGTTATAAAAGTCTTGCAGGAGTCCAAGAGAAGCAACAGCAGCACGTGTGTGGACACATGACTTCAGTCCCCATTTTGTGGAGACGTCTCAACAAGATGGCGGTTAACGTTGCCGATGCTGAGCCTGAGCTTTGTCAATAGAGGGGGTTGGTGTTTTGGCACAACGCCTGATGTCACGTGTTTTTATGAAATGTCACCAGGCAACTTTCCAAAAAGCCTCACTGACAGAAGCAAACAAAGGGCTGGTAGTCCGGGGCTTTCCAGGTCGCTCACACAACAAAGACACACCTCAAGTCACAGTCAGACCAGAAATACAAGGACCAAACAAACACTAATGTGTGGTTACAAAAGCTCCAACGCCTCAGACTACTAACCAGTATAACC